TCATTAAAAATTAAAACTAAATGATTTCGTTATACTTTTGAGGTTTTTCCAAGAAGTTAAACTTTAAATAACAAATTTTATGTTTTCAGTAAACATTTACTTGTAAAGATAATAATTGTTGGTGAAGGTGAGAACCAGAAATACTGCGAATTGATTAAATCTATTTCTTAGATTAATTCTTGAATTGTTGTATCCTCTCAACTCACTTGAAATTGCGACATTTGCGCCAAAGATTTGGGAATATGATGCGACCGCCGGTATCGACTACAATTATTCAATGAGGATTGGAAAATTCCAGAAAGTTAGAGTTAGCAGAGAGAGTGGAAGAAATGAGTGGAAAATAGAAAGATCGATGAGACAAGCGGTTAATGATCAGGTGAAATAGGCAGAGCAGTTGTTAGAGAGTAGAGATTTCGAGAAACGAAGACTAACAAACAGTGCCCAAAATAGCATTGGTTTTGAAAGAAGAGAGCGGAGTGTGTACATATGAATGGAGAGAAGGATGTAGGATAGTGGCGCCATTATTGTTAGTATAGGAAATTGAGGGGTGGCCTTATGTGGAATGAATTTTGAGGTTTGAAAATACTTTCTGTACCAGAAATGTGAAGAGAAAAAGGGGTGAATGGTTGGTTGACTGATAATCTTATCTTATCATTTACTCATACTGATTGATTAAATCTTAACGAAAGCGGAAATGTTTTAGTTAAAGAGGGTGATGACTGGACAATTATGTATGATTGAGTATTCCGGAAGAGAAATATGGCGGGAGTGGGAAGAGACGATGAGAGCCACTGTCCACTCATTCATTCGGCACTACAAAGCACAGTAATCTTTGTGTCAAAAGGTTAGTTAGACAAGCTGATCATTTTAACGATAATGGTTAAGCGCTAATTACCATTCTTGAATGGACTACTTATTGCCTCATTACATTTCTATCTCATCATTTGAACTAATAGGGAGAGAGAGAGAGGAGAGAGAGAGAAGAGAGAGTGGAAAGAGAGAGGAGGGAGAGGAGGGAGAGGAGAGAGAGGAGAGAGAGAGGAGAGAGAGGAGGGAGAGAGGAGAGAGTGGAAAGAGAGAGGAGAGAGAGAGGGAGATGGAGAGGGAATTCATTTGTTTTGCGCCCCCTCTTGCTCTCTCCTACATTTAGCGCAACAGATGTTTCACGTATTGTATCACCAAGTACTGTGCTATGACAGCTGCTATGCTTTATTTTTATTTAATTAGCCGTATAATATGCAACTGCTATTATTCATCACTTTTTTTTAAAAAAAAGAGGGACATTATTTATAATTTCAATTTAAAGATAAATTGAAAAAATGTCAAACAATACGTAAACTATCGATCAATTCTAATTATCATTTCCTCATGACAAATTGTATTATCTTCAACATTTACAATTTTTTCAATTGAAAGATATTGCTATTTGCAAACTAAGGATGCTTTCTAAAATTTTCTTTTATTTGACAGATATACTTAACATTACTCTGTTTAAGTACCTGTAGCATAATCTTCCTTTATATCGATTAAAATTGCTGCAAAATCTAATATGCTATTTCGTATCTTTTAACACAGCCTAATATCACCCTTGTCAACCTTGCATTAATCGTATTTTTAATTTATGGCATTCATTCAATTTTCAGTTACAAAGAAGCAGAGATGCAAATTGCTTTCCGATATAAAGCGATATAAAGCGGTAGCAGAATTGCTCAAATTTCCGGTTGCAAGCAAGCAAAAGAATTTTTTTCGGATGCTATCATCTGTTTATAGTTTTCCTGACTTCTCGAGAACTCCACATCTTCTCAATGACTTCCTTCCTTATCCGGCTCAAATTTCGAGATGAACGAATTAATTGAGCAATTCAATACCAAAATGTTTTTACAAAAAGAACACTCATACACATCTTCAACATTAAGAGAAACCAGTAAATGGAAAAAATTTGACCAAAAGTTCACTTCGCTAATCACAACATTCATCTTTTTTTTTCATTGCTATCAAAAGCAGCGCTACTTTTTTCCCCATTTCAACTTTTATGCTAAACTGATAACCAGCTATTAAATTTCATATAAAAGTTTGATACATAAATAATTGCAAAAAAAGTGAATTAGGGAAATAATCGCGCACAATTTTTTTTTGCATGGAATATTTATGATGTTAAGTTTTTCTCAGAAGCACTGAATGATTATCTGTTTAAAAAAAAAATAAAAATCTGAGCTTTAAATCTTCAAAAAAAGAAAAAATTGACACTGATGTATGCAAACTGAAAAAGCTTGAAATCACAAAGCTTCACATTTTTTTGACCTAATCAGTGCGATTTTTTATCACCAAATTAATTTTTCAATTCTAAAAATGAAACTTTCTGCATCAATTCGATATTTCATTTTTCATTCATAAATGTCTTTTCCAAAAAATTTTCATATCTTTTGTTTTTTTTCTGCTTTTTGTTTTCAAAATAAATTAACTGCAAACAGTAATTGATAAATTTATCGTGAAAATTTGATGGGCTCTTCTCAGTAATAATTGTTATTGAATTAAATAGAACATTTGCTACGTAAATATATCAAATATTGAATTCATCAAAAGGATAACCTGCGTGTTGGAATGTCAGATTAGATTACGGTTAATTGCTTCGTTCAATGCATTAACTGTTTCAATGGATCAAAAAAAGGCATTTTGTATTGTTTTGTAAAGCCTACCGAAAAGATAAGGCCTGACAATAAATATTTAGAATGAATGCCATTGCTTTTAACCAATAATCACCTTGCACAAAACACCTGGAAGGTAACATTTTGCAGATATTTCTTTTTTTTCAATGATTAAAGCTTGAAACGGCCTTATTGGGAACATACCAAAAGAAATTTGTAAATAAGTTGAGTGAAGTAACTGAGTAGAATGTAAGTAAACATGCGAAATTTGTATTTAAAATGGAAATGAAATTAGTTAAGTAAAGTAATTGAGTAGAATGCAGATAAACTGATATGAAATTTGATCGACAGCAAGCATAATGACACGTGCGCATTTCTTCCACTTCGAGTTGCAATTTTCACAGCGCTCCAATTTCAGAACAACTGGAAAACAACACTGTCTCGCTGGGGGACAGTTTGGTTTAATCGATTTCATTTTTCAGCGAAATTTTGTAGCTTCCTTAGCTCCGTGATTTCTCGGGTGAGCAGGTTGGTATATGAACGAATGATTAATTTGTGAGAGGAAGGTGACATTGTCTTCAATGAGTGAAAAAAAATTTGGCCATAGAAGTGGTTCAAACGATGTCATTTTTATGATTTTATCCGTTTTCGTCATCTCTCTCCATGACATTATATTTGCGTAACTTATTTTTCTCAAGTTACTAATACATATCATTAAGATTAAAGTATACCTTAAGCAAGTTAATTCAAGTTCAAGGTTGCTTTGTTAACATTGAAGCTGTTGTCAAATTAAGCTGTTGAAAGTCGTTCAATCGTTATACATGCAGATTGTCTGCAAAAGCTCATATATCTTTTGTGAATTTAGTTCTTCAGAGACAAGCAAGAGTAAGGTCAGTCAGTGGTCAGGTTTATAGAAGTTCAGATTCGTGTTCTAATTAACCTTTTAATGATTTGGTAATTTATAATGAGGTATGGTTACTAATTAGTAGAGAAGTTTTTAATCCATATTTTTTCTCCATTCACCTATATTTTATCCTCCACGTTTTTGAATTATCACTACTGAACCATGTTTGAAATGAGCGCTATTCATTGTCTCTATCAAACTTTGCGGCAGTTTTCTAGTCAAAGTTGGTAAAATAATTTACAATTTTAGTTTGCAGGCAAAAGTAGAAAGTATTATTCAGTGAATTGTTGGACATAGCGAACAATATCTAGGGCAGTTCAAAAGAGATGTCATTGAATTTGGTAAAATAATACTTCATTCCACTTCACAAGCACTTTCAGTTATATCATTTTTTGGGCTATAAGTTTAGGTGAGGAGAAATGACAATTGTTTCATCCTCATTCCTATAATACATCTTAATTATCGGCCTACAGATTTGATTTCATTTAGAGTATCGACAATGGAATATTATATGAACATTTTGTAAAAATTTGTAGTCTGTAAAATTCCATAAAAACTTTTTTCTTACATTTTTTAGGTGGACATATTTCTTCAAAGTTAGAGGAATCAGTAATATGATAAATGATTCTAATAAAATAGTAGTCACTAATGATGACGGTCAGTCAGCAAGTGGCAGTTATAATGAGTTGGTGTAAGAAAAAAATACATCGCAACTATGGAAATAAAAAAATGCGATTGAAAAGTAGTTCTCAAAGAGTGTATGTAGTTATAGTTTTTTATTTCATTCTGAGATGATTCTGTATCAGTGTGTGCTGTGCTCTTTTCTCCCACTGGTTGTCATTTAATAATCAGTAAATGCATACACTTTTCGGCATAGTTTCATCTTTCCAGTTAAAATACACTAAATATTTCATTTCACCTTTCCACTATCCCCAATTTCAAAATTTTGTCAAGCCCATCTCATTGCTATTTAAACGGCAAATTTCGCACTATTTCCCGTTTAAATAGCAATGAAGAGAATAGTTGTTATTGACTTTTAGCAGTCATTTTTCTTTTACACCCATGCATTCAAAGCTCTTTCCATTTTTGAGCTGTTGTGGAATTCTAAATCAAAAACTGTACTGCATTGTCCTTTCATTATCGAATTAGTTACTGTTTGATAAAAAATGGTAGAATTTAAAATGTTGAGCTTTACTTACGGACAACGCAGTACAATACTGTATTTATGTCCTGTTGAATGTTTTTTTTTTTTTAATTTCTGCAGTGATAGATGAATTTGACTGAGAAGTCGCCGGTTGTATCAATGCTGTTGATTCTGTCCATTTTCATTGTAAACCGTGTTTTTTTTTTTAAAATTCATAATCGTTTTTTGTGCGGTTTGAAATTAATGGTCATTTTATTGCAGTGGATTTAGCGACTTGCTTGAAGTATACATTTTTTTCAACTAAATTATGGATCCATTAGATGGACAAGACGTGTATGCAGCAGAAAAAATTTTGAAATCACGAACGAGAAAAGTAAGTAAATATTTTCGAGCACTAATTGCACTTCGTAAAGTTTACTTTTATATCCTAGAGCAATCTTACGAACCCATTCCGATAGTGGAAAATAATCCAAACACGCACACCAGTATTCTGACTTTAAAATTTAAGTTTTATATGAAATTTGAATAGTTTCTTTCACCCACTTTACCACTCTGCCCCCTCTCTCTCTCTCTCTCTCTCTCTCTCATATATCTTTCCATACTTTGCATATTTCTCCAGCCTTTAGTTTGCGTCAGCGGGTAATTTGCCGAAACTTGAAACTTGGAATGGATATTTTAACCGCCGCTCATCATCATCATCATTAATTTATATTTAAATTCATTGAAAAAAATTTCTATGAGTATGGAATTTCTGGACTATCATTGAACAAGAATGGAAATATTTTAGAATGTTAAGAAGAATAATTGCATATCTTTAATTTTAATATTAGCAAAGTAAAATAAAACACGTGACAAAAGCGCATTCGTGGATGAGCCTAAATGGAAAATACTATATGCAATACGGTCTTGAATTAGTCTAAAATATTTTTGTAGCTGTTGGACGAAATATTGTGGGCATGCAGCCCATAAAATTTCTGCTATATTTGTGCTGCAAAATATAAACTATTGTATGATTCTTTGTTAATAGTTTCTTCTAATGTCATTTTCCGAAGCACTTAAAAATCATTTTTTTAGTCCTTCGCTATGTTATAATCAGCATTTTCAAGCCAGTCATCGTCCTCGAAAGTTGCACAGCAACTTTCACCTTAAAAAAAGTACGCGTGTGGGTTTGTAAGGGCAAAGGCTCATATAGTAATATGACTTAAAATGATGAATTATTCTTAAAAAATTGAAACATTCGAAATCTCCTTTTATTTCTTCTATATTTTTCCCATAAAAACTATTAAATCCATTCCTGGAAAATGTGTACAAATATTTGCCGAATCATCTCGGAATATTTATTAAATTCTCTATACTTACTTTTTCTGTAAATGCTTAGGTCTCAGTAAACTTGTTAAGGTCATTGCAATTAACTTATTATCACTGGAAATCTAAATGCCTTCATTGAGTCTACTGTTGTAGTTTTAACAAGCTTACTGTACTGCGATAAAGTTAATAAATTATCGCTCTGAGTTCTTATCTCTATTATGATGAAAAGTTCTTCCTACATATTAGGTATATTGACTATAAGTTTCAGACTCTTATTTGATAGCCGAGAGCGGGAGAGGTAAATAGGATTATTTCGAGATCCACTGATTATGACATCCAGCCTTAATAAGTTTCTTGATTTTTGTAACATTTCATTTCTAACTTATAGTTTGAAATTACAAAGATTGAATAATTTGAAATCACAAAAAAAAGAAAAGATAAGTTTTTCTTTAACTAAGTTTTGTTTTTTAAGGGAAAAACAGAATATCTGATCAAGTGGAAAGGATGGTCAAATCAGTAAGTTATCTTAACTTATTAATCTCTCACTGCTTGACTGTTACTGCTCATATATCTTCAATTCAATTTTATCGTAAAGTTATCGACTTTATTACGTTGTGATTAATGAGTTTTTAGACATAACACATGGGAACCATCAAGTAATATTTTGAATGAAAACCTGTTCACGGAATCGGGTTTTTCCGTACCAAGCGATTTCAAAGGTGGAGCTCGAAAGGGAACTAGAAGGTCAAATCGTGGAAGGAAACGGAAAGTAAAAGAAATTTCCGATTCTGAAGATTCGGATGGCTACAATCAAAGTTATGATGAAGGTGCTAGTGATACTCGTTCGGAAGGTATGTTCTATAGCATTGTTTGTTTACTACTTTCTTCAGGGGCGTTTAATCTTGGATTGATTCCCTTTCTCAAGAATTTGCCAAGTATTGATTGATTCTTTTAAGGCTCAGAAACTTCACCAAGGTCCAGCATTCATTCAAGGCCCGAAACACCAATAGCTCTAACAGAAGAACCTAGTACAGAAAGCAGCAAATCCCCCAAAATGCCTCGAAAACGAGGTCCAAAAAGTAAAAAGATGTCAAACGAAATACCGAGGACCTCCATCCCAGTTTCAAAAATCAACGAAGCAAAGAATAACGATGACAAGTTAGAATTGAAAGAACTGAAGGAAGAAAAATCGGATAAAGAACAAGGAGTTGAAGAATCTCCGAAGACTGAAGCTGATATAGAGCTGGATAACAAGAAGAAAACAGAAGTTAGGATTCCTTTAAAACTGTGGATTTATATAGCATTTGTGAGGTTGTTGCAAATAAAAAAAACGAGCTTAAATTTTTTCTTTGTTCGCCATGTGTCTCACATGTAATCAGGAATTTATTATGCATTGATTTCTCTGGGTTTCATTTTTTTTTAGTTTTTACACTTTATAAGATGTGAAACTTCTGTCTACCTTCTTGTCCTCACAACTTTGCTTTGTTATTGTATAGGAACTTCGTTTCTATTGCAGAGCATTTCTTCGGACACGAAATTGGATTTATCAGGTACCGACAAAGTTGGGAAGAATGAAGCTGCATTATCGGAAGCTGAAATATTTAGGATCATCAAGTATGATGAAAGTGGAGCAATTGAAGAAGAAAACGCAAAAGGAGACGAAGTAATCCACTTAATTGTTTATGTAACATTCGAAGTATAAAATAAAATAAGTTTTCATTGATTTTTGTTTTTCCATTATTCATCAGGCCAACAGTGCTAATGGTCGAATGAATTGATGAAAATTTCCGTTCCATTAATTTGATGTGTTCATGTTACATTACACTTCTATACTCTTAAATTTTTGAAATTTATTACGGCAAAATTTGCTATTTTTAGGTTAAACTGAAGAAACCTGAAGTTTTTGAAGGTCGATCTGGATCAGTACAAGTCGTTTCTAATGGTCAAGGTAAATTCTACTGTAAAGATTTGGCATACTTCATCACGTTCAGGTTGGCAGTGCGAAAAAAAAGGCCTATTGTATGTGAGCTTGGATTTCAGAAAAATTGATTGTAATGCATGGGATTAGATTTCAGTCATTAATGACACAGTTCAAAACTTTCCGGCAGAGCATTACTTAATTTTTGATCGAATGAATGAAAGTCAAATTGATCTGTTAAATTCACCTCGTTATAAAACAATCAAAGTTAGAAAGCTTTGTTTTCAGAGCAAATAATCAATAGGCTGGCATTTGTTGTTGAGGGGACATCTAGTTTGTCTCGAAGCTCGGAGCAGTTGCAGTTACACGACTATGGAGACAGTGATGAAAGCCGGATTCGTGTAATAGCCGACCATTTAAAAAATGAAACTGTGAGTTTCCAAGATCAATTGATGCATCTTTTGATGTGTTAATAGAAATTAGAAACTTTGGTAAAATAAAGAGGAGAAGACGCTAAATATCATTTTACTTTTGTTCAAGGAATTTCATTATGATGCTTTTGCATGCTGTTCGAAAATATGATGTCAGTCACATTCGTTTAATTTGTTTTCAGTTATAATGGAGTAATTCCATGCTGAAGTTTTGCAGTATTACAGAAAATTTGGACAGATGCTAATAATACGCGCTTCGAAAGTTTTCAATACAATGGTTCTCATATAATCACCGAAGTAACAGTCAATCAGCATACTGTCCCAATTATTGAACTGTAACTACATGTAATATCATTTAATTTACTTCATTTATATATGCTTGTGTTTTTATAACTTGTTGTATCTATATTTGAGTATTTATTATAAAGCCCTTAAATGCATGTTCTATTTTTCGAAGTGATAATGATGGAATTATTTTTAGTAACTTATTCTTTTTTAAAAATGTTTATTTCACAGTCCACTATTTGATTTCTGTACTTTCAAGTGTAAGATTTAGATTTTTTTTACTGTCAGTGATTGAAAATTTAATTCTCATTAATTGCAGCTTTCAATTAGTAGGATCCCTGCGATTTTATACCCCGTCATTTCCTTTTGACAGTTTCTGCAGCACTTCTCCATTATTTATAGTCATGTTTGTTCTTTATGCCAAGCAGTTCTGCCATTAAAACTTGAAGATAATTCTAGAAATCGAAGGATTAATGTTGAATATGAAGAATTTAAAACCATTTCCAGATCCATATAGATTTGAATAGGCTTGTCGATATTCAGATTACTATTAATACGCAGACAAATAGCTCTTTTGAATTACTGTATGTACAAATATATCCATCAGAAGGGGCATTCCCTTGCAACGTTAGTAGGTACTGTACCTTTAGTAAATATATGAAACTTTTGGATATTGATTCGTATCATGATTTATGTATTGATGTTGAATGCGTATTGCATAGCGAAATGTCTAGAAATTATAAAATAGTTTTTGAAATCATAAAAAAAATAGTATTTTTTTTCTACGTAATTTCTGCATATCCGAAATGAGTTATTTAGATGTTTTCCTAAGATTGTTTCTAAGAGTATAAGGATTGAACCCACTAGAGTGAAGTGGTGAAGTTATTGACAGACGCATTGGGCTAATAAAATGACAGAGAAGGAGAGATTATGCTATTTCGGGAAAGGAAGAGGGAAAAGGGAAAATTGCTATTGCACTGGTTCAATCTGATTGGGCTTAGGCGGAAGTAATTCTTTCTCTGAAGAGAATATCTTTCAACAGCATCTAAACGGCACAATTATTAATACTGGATAAAGTACCTTATAATATGATGAAGTGTTTATTGAGAAGGAAGTATCTGCTTGATGAAGCAACAAAACAAACTTTACTCATACTCTCAATTTAGAGATTGAAAAAAAAAACGGAAATTTTAAGAGGTAGTACACAATGAATCAACTTTGCAATAATTGGTTGAATATATGGCTGGTGCAATAGAAGAGATTACACCGATCTATATTAGTTATCAAATTTTAGATTCTAGTTATCCAATATTTCAGTCTAATTAATGAAATTTAATTTAAGTTCATATAAAATCTAAAACGCAAGAAAAAATTCAACTTACTATTAAAAAGACTAGAACAATCCTTTGCAATTTGCAAAAAAAAATAAAATCAGAAATCAGAAAAAGATTGTAATTTATTTTGGAATGCGAGAACGGAAGTTAGCATTAATTAAACACAAATGTTACTTACAATTTGAATTAAATCAAAAAAGTGCTCATTAAATGTCATTCATTTCATTTTAACTTTCTTTCATTCGTATCAAACGAACAAATTGCATTCCTTTCAGCTATATGATGACAGAAATTATTATTTTATACACACATGACAGAAGAAGAAGAAGAAAAAAAAGGAGTAATTAATGTTGTTACAGTAACAAAGAAGAGCAACTTGGAATGTGCGTACTGTAATTTATTATTTGGATGAAATACCGGAGAAGAGAGATGATGATCTATTGCATTCATTTAATACTACTGCAAATGATATATACCTGTACTATACTATTCAATAGTAAATGTATAATGCTTATTCACATATGTAACATGCATTTTGCAGTTGCAATGATAATAATGATTACCTTTCACATACAACTAACTGCTACTACTACTTTGATTTCTTGCATTACGCTCGTGCTCAAATAAACAAACGAGCAACCCTCAGGGCATTCAGGGCATTCATCCATCCATCTTTCACATATCGTTCAAAAACGGACGGACAGACAGGCAGAATGACAAATATATGTTCCCGAACCTGTTCCTTCCTTCCTTTCTTCCTTCCTTCCTTCCTTCCTTTCCTTCTACTCTCTGTTACATGACAACAACAGGTCACCAACCATCTCTTTATCATCTTTTCACGAGGGGTTGTATCAAAAAAATAACAATAGTCAATTGAATGAAAATGATTCATCATTTCAGCAAATATTTCAATTTTTGCATCATTTTCGAATGAAATAATTGAAATTTCAAAAATTTAGGAAGTAAATTAAAATGAATGGAGTAAAGAAAATTATAAAATTTGAGATGTTTCAAATTTTAATGTTTACTTTTTATTTTATTATTTGTTAAGAATATAATAGAATAAATTAATAAACATATAGAATCATGGCATTAGCAATTCGGCACTACTCTATTTGAAATAGCATAAATGTTTCAATTTTTATTGTTTTTTATAGTTATCAATATTTTTGCTTCTTTGAATGCAATAATAATGATATGTTAGGAAAGGTTATAGAACAAAAAAAAAAACAAAAAAGAAAAGAAAAGTTCCTATATTTGTTTGTTTGTTTTCTCATAAATGAATTCAAACTATTTTAATTGGAAATTTCTCGGTGTTGTTTGTTTATAAATGGCTGAAAAAAAGAAAATACACTGAGAAATTTTATTGTTAATTAATTCCTGAAATTTTTCAATCACAAATTTTTGATATGTTAACAGTTTCATAATCTGTTCATTATACTAACAGTTATATGTGATATGCATTGTACATTTCTACTAAAAAGTTACAAAAAAATTATGCATGTAATAATTATCAGATAAGAATTAAAGATGTGATAGCAATATTCGTCATAAATGAAAGAGAAATGTTATTCTTCTTTATTGCTGTAAAATTTATTTTAACAATAATAAAATCGAGAATGATAGGTAGCATACTGTAAATTTGATAAGTAAAACGAAGAAGATGAGAAAACAGTCATTTATTTGAAAGCGTTTTTCAAATAAGAATAATCAAATGGTAAAAGAAGAAATGTATGAACAAAAGATGGATGACGTGATTTGGTGGTAATTAATGATCGCCACAATCCATTTATCCAATGCAGACTTAAATAAAAATTTAATATCAGCAAATTATAATGTTTTAAATTCTGTGGAATATTGTAGAGACAGCAGAACTATCATTTGTATGGAATATTTTTTGGGTAAAGTTACTTAACTTAAAATAAATGAAATTAAAATTTTGGTAATATCACATTTATAAATCATCGTTTATGTCCAATATTATAGTCAACTAGTCCATGTACTTCTTATATTCGCGAGCTTTTCATAAATTTAAGTATAGAAAAGCTTTGATCAATCCAATTTGATCGCTATTTACTATTACGTGTAATCATAGTCTAGCCTTTTATTTTCTTCCATTCAATTTTAAGATAATTAAATTTTCAAACGATTAAGAAATAAAATTAGTAGTTATGCAAATCCTTTAAAATATTACATTGGAATGTTTTACGAAAAGCAAAGTTGATTCTTATACTTTTGTTGCATTGAGATAATTGTAGTAATGTCCAGAGCAGTCTGCTGCTAATCATAATTATTATCATTATCACTATTCAATTGTGATTTTTCTGCTATATTATTATAATATGAAGATAGTTTATATATTGAAAAAAATATAAAGGAGAAATTTTGTGATAATATCAGAAAGAGAAATGATGATTATGATCGTAATATTTAGAGATCGAAGTCAATATAATGTAACTTCCTTCTAACAAAAAAGATATGCATAGTGCAGATATTTTAAAGAGTAACAAAGTAATATTGCTATTACTGTTTTACAATTTTATTTATCATATTTGCCGATAATATATATTCGTGTTTTCCATGTATGAGTTAATTTTAGCCTTTCATGTTCTATTCAATAACTTTATTGAGCGATCATTAAGGTCATTTTGATGGATAAAACAGTTGGCATAACAAGTAGTTGGACAATAGCAATGTGATAGAACCCATAAAAGAAAGACTAAATCTTATAATTACAGTTGACAGAGCAATGCATTTATTTTACGGCTCATTGAATATCATAATAATATAAAAAAAATATTCACAAGTATAAATTTATATGATAATTTGATCGATAGTTTTCATCATAGTTATCAGTCATCGCTGTTATCCTATTATGTTATAACTATATCTGACTTTTTGCATACAATAATTAGAAATTTGAAAAATTTCCTTTGCGTAGCTTTTGTTTCAAAAGAAAACGAGATAGTAATTAACATGAAGTAACTATTAAAAAAACTTCTATTTTTTACTAAACGTTCAGAGAAGAGCTCTTAAAGTTTCTGTTCCAAAAATTTTAACTTTTATCTTCATTCTATGAATTTAAATGAAAAATATTTTCATAAAAGATATGATTGTGAAGTAGTTTTCTATTCATACCATTTTTTATGAATATAATTTTCTATTTAAAGCTAAGAATTTCAGCTTAAAAGAATAGTTTAAGTATTATTATCAAATTTAAGTTTAGGAAATAGAAATTTAATTTAATATCATTGAGTTGTAAAATCTTGATGGAACTAATTTTAATGTTGAATCAAAATATTTAATTTAGCTTTTTTCTTTTTTTTTTGAAAATAACAGCGAGGAATTTTTTTTAAACAAATAATTTTGTTGTATGTCGTAAAAATAAAACGACAAATAAATTTTCAAATTTTGTTGTATTTTTGTGTAAGTGAAATTTACTTCTGTTTAAATAGATTTTCATTTATGCTGAATAAGTGATTTGCATCATATCTAAAATTATTAATAACCATTGATTAGCTAATGGATTCATTCTTGTTCCACTGAGGTTAATATATTTATACAGTGATTAAAGGATAAAAATCCCTCCTTCCAAACTTTCCATATTTTTACAGCTATCATTTTTTGCTCTTTGGAAAACTTTTCTTCTTTGAATTTTTTAATTTAATTTTTTTAGAAACTTGTATATGCAAATGTTAAATTAAGCTTCTTTATAATTTC